AAGCAGTCGTATTCGACAATGCTTAGTTGAGAAGTTTTTCTTTGATGTTTTGTGCTTTTATGTTGCTGTGACAATTCTGCGTCCAGTGCATGTCTGATGTATGTCTTGAGTTATTAAACTTGGTTTGAGGCAGCTTTTTCCTGTGATTGTTTTTGTGTATTTATTGTCTGTATTGCTTAAATTTAGTTCTTCAGCGACTCCATTTAAGGAATAAAACTGTCAGTCTTCTAAGGACGTAGCATTTTTTATTAAATTTATTTATTTTAAACAATTGCAAGCATGAGACATTTGTTCATACCGTAATTCAACAATACTTGTAATGGCTTCATTTACCGTATGGTTCTTTTATTCTGGAATCTGATACGTTCTGCCATAAGCTGGTCCCAAAATTGACATTGTGTTAATTTCTTGCATTCATTTACCGAAATGTAGCCATGCAAAACTGGTTGACGTCGTGAGACACATGAACAAGGATGGTGAAAGTTTTGCTTGAAACTTTTACACACGAAAAAGTACTGTTCTGATGAAACCAAGTTTTAGTTGGAGATTCGAGCCCTGCTCAGTAATGAAGCCGACAAATTTCTTTACTGTCATAAGTGAATGTCAGCGGTCAACTTGCGGGTCAGTATCAGTTCTGGTCAAAAGTGCTTGGCTTGGGGCATCTCCCGTCTCGCACTTGTCACCTTCAACAGGTGCTAACGAAATGCCAGTTTCCCTACATCGGTTAAGAATAGCTTTGATCTTGAAAATTTTTCTGCAGGCTACTGTTTTTGACACTTTTAATTCACAGTCCCGACTCATAACATTTTCGTGCTCGTCGAAAGAGACCCGTTAGATAATTTTTCATGCTCTCGCTAAGGATCTTGTTCCGGCGAAATCGATGCGGTGTCCAGTCGCAATACGATCATGAGCCGGTAAATAAGTTATTGACAATTTCCTTAACGTTTCTTGACTCGTGACCCACTGTTTATTGGCTGACTGGTGCTCAGCAACTCTAACTCGCATTCGCCATGATGCCTGGCCAGTGTACAGTAGACTGCAAGGCAGACCATCGACTATCGATTGAGTCTTCAACGAGAATTCGGTCTTTTGCTTTCGTTAAAAGTGATCTTGGCTTCCCTTTCAATTCGAAGTAAGCTCTGATGTTCGCTGAGTTTATAAGTTATTTCACAGATTTTGACTGGCTCGGAAAATAAGGAATGCTGGTGGAAAATGCAGACCGTTGACTCAGACTAAGTTTGCGTCCAGTTCTACGCCCCTCCTCCGATGATCCTTGATGAGTATCCATCTCGTCACAGTAGGTCGTAGACAAACCTTACTTTTATAGAGGCTCGGCGTCGGAACAAAAGTTGTGGGCTTGATCCATTAAATATTTTACCTATCTGCGGCGTTTCGTTGTTCAGCTGGTTCAACAAGTCGTTTCAATTTTCCTTTCGTCATGTACGTAGCGGCGTCATATTTGGGTGGTTAACGAAGTGGATAGAGAAAGCAGATTGAGAGTTCTGAATGGCAAGTGCTCAATGCAATCTTTCCAAGGAAGCTGAGATACTTCGGCAAAGGCAAGAGTACTTTGAGGAACTCCTCAATCCCGAGCAGTTGTAGGAAGCCTCGCCTGAAGATCAACAAAACAACGGATATTAGTCTTTCGTTAGACGAAGTCAGTAGACGTCGTAAGAAGTTTGAATAGTTACAAGGCTGCTTGAATCTATGAAATCAGCTCTTAACGCTTTAGACGAACAAGACAAGCTACAGCTAACACTGGTCTTTCAAACTGCAATGACTACAGAGAAAACACCGATGTACTGGAGAAATGGGATGGTAGTTACCGTTGTTCCCAAAGGTAAAGAAAAGTTGATCAAAATTTGAATATCAGTCTGCTTTCACTTTCATGATTGGGCCATTTTAGCACCCTTCTTTTAATGAAGTTGATGCAGTGCTGATGCCTTTGCTTCTATGCCATCAGCACTCTTTTTAAGGCATGTGACCAGCGTAGTCTGTAGTCTCTTGCTTCCTTCCAACAGACTAGTAATCATTTACCAACCGCGAAAGTAAGAAGGGCAAGTGGCCCTGACCGGCAATTGAACTCGGGACGTATCGGATCTGAATTCGACATCCTACCGGCTGAGCAGCCTCGGTCTGGAGCAGCATTATAAATTCATTGCTCAAGGCAATTCGTAAATAATACAAAATTTGCCTTGTCTAGATGAATCGAACCCCGCACCTCCAGAGTTCGAATCAGACCTCCTAGACAACTGTCCGAACACGTCACAAACGGGAAAGAAAGGTTGGAAAGGAGGTATGGCGGAACAAATGATTCTAAAGGTTCAGAAAAGCAGTGTGACTTTAGGTCAGGCTGAAGCTCATCATCGCGGCACTCTAGATTGTTGAGAATTCGTGGGAGTGCGCCCGTCCGGTGTACATGTGTTTTGTTGACCTAGAAAAAGCCTATGATCGGATCCATGCAACAGTCTGTGATCATGGCTGCGAGTATACGGGATAGGTGACCACCTGCTAAGGGCCATCCAATAACTGTATTCTGATAGCAGGTGCAGCGTCAGAGTAAATGGAGTTAAGTCGAAACCATTCAACGTTCGCACTGGTCTCCGCCAACGCTGCGTCCTGTCCCCTTTCCTGTTTGTGTTGTACATGGGTTGAATAGTCAGGAGCTGCCAAGGCGATGAGTGTATCGGTGTAGGAGATGTGAAGACAAGATGGTTGCTGTTTGCAGCCGATCTTGTTTTATTGGCATCTTCTGAAACTGATCTACAGTTCTCTCTGGAAAAGTTCTGTGCCGAGTTCGACGTTGGCGGCATGCGTGTGAACCCGTATAAAAAGAAAAGCCTAGTGTCTTCTCGTTTTCTTTACCGCTGCTCTCTTCAGATCAGCAGAGAAGCAGTGGAGGAGGTGAAGAGGTTCAAACACCTCGGAGTCGTATTTACTAGTGATGAAAAATTTGAGGAACAGATCGACCGGCGAATTGGAGTAGCCAGTGGCGTTCTGCGTGAACTAGCCCGATCCACTGTGACTAAAGCAGAGCTGAATCTGAAAATTAAGCTCTCGGTATTCAAGTCATTCTTTATCCCGATGCTTATATACGGTCATGAGTCGTGAACGATGACTGAAAACCTTCGCTCCCGGATAATGGTGGCTGAAATGGACTTTCTGCGACTAATCGCTGGGCTGACACGTCTCGACATGGCCTGGAGTTCAGATATCTCAGAGATGGTGGGTGTGCAACCGCTGCTTCTTCAGATTGAGAAGTCACAACTGCCGTGGTGTGGGTGCGCCTTGCAAATGTCTCTAGAAAGGAAGGCGAAACGATGCTATTTTTTCAATCCACCAGCCAAAAACGCCTGGGACGGTCAAGATTAACCTGGAGCAAGTGTCTCGAAGACTCTGCTTCAGACACAAGTCATTTTCTGCCGAAGCTCAAACGCTGTCACATATGATCAGGAGTTTTGGAGACACTATATGATTTGTCTGTATCCGCCACCTGATAGAACTAGAGGTGACCAAAACTGGCTCATTGACTGAAGAGGTAGATTTACCGAACATTGGATCTTTTCACTAACTTTGTGTTCTATCTTTTGCTAGGTAGACTTGTTCTCGCAAAAAACGTCATGCTACCGAAAAATTCCTGTGTGCTTTCATAGAAATAAACGCTTACGCGTGAAATCGTGTGTTAAAAGAGGTTGGTTCGGTTTTTCTTGTTTTCACGAACGAACGGTTTTCACCAACGAAGGCGGACGTGAAAATGAAACACTTCATTAGCATGATTTAGAGAATTGCCACTCGCAGCAACTGGGACTGACAAATACCGGTTCATGAAGTAGCGATGACCCAGCAAAGGATTATATGTATGCTGCGCTGGCGTTTTATAGGACATTTCGGCAGCCACTTGTCTGGGGGGCCATTAGGTTGCTCGCTTGTCGTCGCGGGGGCGTTAATTTTAATCTGACATTCGACGAGGAAAGCGCCTGAACTCCACCTACTGTTCCGTTGTGCAACGCCGTGTCGCATCGACCTGTTCCTCATCTATGAATCCTCGTCGTTAGAACACGAGTTTTCCGCAGCCGTACCGTGCGGTCACGACATAGCCGTCACCGGGACAGTCACAGACGGACGATGGCGAATGTGATTGACTGGCTGCAGGCGGATCGCAACATTCAGTGAACTCGCTCGGCGTAGTGTGTCACCATTTCCGCCGTGGTCGTCGTTACCGTCGCTGCCGCAGTCACGTAACGCAGTTACGTAACATGCGAGTAATCTGGTCGATCCGATAGTCGTCGTCTCTCGGATCAGATCCTGCTTACCGTCGTATCGTCTGTTGTACGCCGGTTTCGCGGTCAACGCCCGACTGACCAACTGCTGACCAACGACATCGCCTGGCCTGTGACCTGTGACCGCGGTTGGCGACGCGATGATAACTTGGAGGAGGATGAGGTGGCTGCGGCAGCGCACTTGCTCCGTTGGTGGTTCGATCAGCGTCGTCCTTCACAACCGTCTGTGTAAGTTCTACGAGGCTCACGCGTCGATGGTCGCTCGTTTCCCGTGGTGGTTCATTGCCGTGCCGCTGGTGCTGTCCGTCGTGCTGGGCACCGGCTTCCATCGGATAACAGTAGAATACGACGTCACCGTTCTGTACAGTCCGGATAACTCG